GAAAAATAAAAATGCCGCCAGCAAATTTTTAGCTTGGATAGAAGCTAACAAGAAGTATCCCGAAGCCAGGAAACTGACATATGTTGAGGCTCCCACCAAATTTACGTGGCACTCGGAAACCAACAGTTGGGAGCCTAGGAAAAGAAGTGACCGTATCGCGCATTTGTACTACGTCCCCCTGGTGCTGGTGACATATATTACTTGTGGTGTCTTATCAACGTTGTTCGAGGTGCAACGTGCCATCGTGACTATATGAAGTTGGATGGAGTAACACCATTCTTATCGTGACGCGTGTTTTTCCCTCGGTCTGGTTGAGGACGACAAAAAGTACATTGAAGGGATTATCGAGGCAAGCCAGTGGTCGAGTGCCAATTCGTTGAGAAACCTTTTTGCTACTTTGTTGTCTTCTGATACTCTCGGTCTACCGGAGTTCGTGTGGGAAGCATGTTGGCCTTACCTATCAGATGATATATTATATAATCGTCGCAGGATTTTACAACATCCAGGTAAACAAATCAATTACGGTCACAAACTTCTGTTTTTTTTTTTTTTGTTTCCTTCATGAAGTATGTCTTTATATTTATAATCTTTGTATAATATTGTTACAGAATTGGTTTTGAGCGATGATGAAGTAAAGAATCTGGCATTGGTGGAGGTTGAAAAAATTTTGCGCAGATGTGGTTCGACTCTACGCGATTACAGTACAATGCCTTTCCCTAATCTCGACCGTAATGAGGCATCCACGAACAGACTGGTGATGAACGAGTTGAATTATGATCGTCGTGCACTCGCTATTGAGAATCAGGAGTTGGTTGCCAATATGACTGATGAGCAGCGCAATGTTTATGGCTCGATAATGGACTTTGTTTACCGTACCTACGGCCTCATGTTTTTCGTTTATGGTTGGGGCGTTGTCTTCTGCTTTGAGATCCAAAGGTGAGATTGTGTTCGAGCAGTATCGCATCACTTTTGTTGCCCGGCGGACGAACTTCGCATTCACGATTCAAAATCCCACTAAATCCAGTGGAAGGCTCTACATGTGATATTAGCCAGCAGAGCCCTTTGGCTGAACTCATCATACGATGTCGGTTGATCATTTGGGATGAAGCTCCGATGATGAACAAATATTGCTTCCAGGCAGTTGACAACACCTTGCGTGCCTTAATGGAAGCAGTTGATCCATCGAGGAAAAATATCCCATTTGGCGGCAAGTGTGTTGTGTTAGGTGGGGATTTCAGACAGATACTGCCCGTTGTCCCTAAAGGCAGTCGGAGCGACATAGTTAATGCAACCATCAATTCATCCAAGTTGTGGCGCGATTGTATCCTTCTGAGACTGACTCGGAATATGAGGCTTCGAAGCCTTGGTGGGGGTGATGAGTACAATGAGTTGAGGCGCTTCTCTGAGTGGCTTGCAAACATCGGCGATGGTGCAGTCGGTGGATCGAACGACGGTTGTACCGATATCGACATCCCCGACGATATTCTTCTACACTCACAAGGGGATCCTATTGGTACTATTGTTGAGAGTACCTACCCGATGTTTAGTAGTGCAGGTGACGATCTTAGCTACCTGAAGGACAGAGCCATACTCGCTCCCGCACTTGATGTGGTTGAGTCCGTTAACGAGTACATGAGCTCGATGAACTCATCTGAGGGAAGGACTTATTTGAGTTCAGATACCGCGTGCAAGTCAGATGCTGGATATGATTCTCTTCAGGATCTTCACACTCTTGAATTTCTCAATAGGATCAAGTGCTCTGGACTTCCGAATCATAAACTGCACCTTAAGGTCGGCACTCCAGTGATGCTTCTCAGAAACATTGATCACTCCATGGGATTGTGTAACGGTAATGTTCATCAGAATTCATTTGTCGTCTATATTTATTTTTATCATTGTACAAATTTGAGTGATATGTTTTTGTTTCTGAGTTTTTATGTTAACAGGTACACGGTTGGTTATCACTAAGCTCAGCAGTCATGTCCTCGAATGCAAGATTTTAACTGGTGCCAGAGCTGGTGACAAGGTTCTTATTCCTAGGCTCACAATCATACCATCCGATTTGAGGGTACCGTTCAAATTTCAACGCAGACAATTTTCGCTTATGATTTCATATGTTATGACTATCAACAAGAGTCAAGGCCAGTCACTTTCACACGTCGGCTTACTATTGAAGAACCCTGTCTTTAGTCATGGACAGTTGTATGTGGCACTATCTAGAGTCACGAATCGGAGGGGTCTAAAGATAATGATCTGTGGTGATGGAGATTTTGACTATAGGAAAACCACAAACGTTGTATATAAAGAAGTGTTTAATAATATTTAAGTTTAGATTTTTGTTGTTGAACTTGAGTTATCAATGACCGTGTTATTATTTTTACTATTGGTTTCTTTTTTATTTTTTTCATTATCATATAGCTTTTCGTGCAAATGCACGAGTTAAAAACTAGTAATTGTAGTATAAACAAGACAGAAAGAAATAGTTAACGATTGAAAATTGAGGTGAAAGTGATTGGTTTATGTTTGAAAGAAAAAAAAAAATAAAAAACAAGAATTACACATAAAAAAGAATTGTGTGACCCATCTAATTAGGTTAATTAGGTGAGTCGACTTGTCATACTTTGTAAAGAGAAAAAAGTATATACTTATGTTATGAGATGTCATATATATTTACGTTATTTTTTAGAATGCCTTTTCTTTTTCAATTTATGTCATATTTATGTTATGCAGTTTCAAACTCATTTCAATATTTCAAATGTTATGAAATTGCCCTCTATATTCTTCAAGCACGTTGAAGAACGCAGTTTCAAACTCATTTCAAATGTTAGATTGCCTTTTTTTTTCCTTGTGAGTTATGTCCTTTTTTTTTTGTTACGGAAAAGAAAAATAGCGACAAACGTAATTTTTAATTTGGATTACTATTATTAATTAAATTATCAAATAATAAAAAATAAGTTATTTGTAACTTAAGATAATTAAAACCACAATATTTAGAAAAATCTTCAAGTATATTAATGTTTTCATGAGAAAATTCAAATGTAAATGATTAAATTAGCAAACAACTAATTTTACCAACCACAATTTCACAAAAAACATAATTTTACAAATAGCTAATACAATCTACTAACCTCCGACATCTAACCATTGATTGTCAAATAAGCCCTCTATCTTTTATAATCTAGTCCACAAATGACCTTAATGACAGTCAAGTACTCGTACGAAAATTATTTGCTCGCATTGAAAGAGAATTATTGGTTTCAATTTTTTGTTGTAACATCAAACACATAAGTAGTTTATCCATGTGAGTGTAGCATCAACAAGAACGTCATAGCAATATTCAGAAGGCATATTTCAGAAATTTGCAGACTCGGCCAGTGATTATCGCGTTTTGCTGTGTGTAAGTAATAGTGAAAAAGTGTATATGATTAAATGCATCCATGAACCTAATCACCAAGAAGGTACAATTAAAAGCATTGGATGATTCTGTAAAACGCACCCTCAGCAGTCTATCTTCAGAGATGTGTCGGTTCCTGCATGGAATGAAACAACTGTTACTAGAATTCCACTGGTAATACGAAAGCCCGAAAAACATATGCTGGCCATGACTCTTTAAGTGTACAAACATCACTATTCACTTATTAGTATTTCTGAATATGGCAAGCTAAAGGAGATCGTCATTTGTCATATTTGCTCCGTGAAGAAAATGCTGAGGTAACGCCTCCATGACTGCACTAACAGAAGTCTAATTTGCTTGCATCAAACCTAACATAAACATGGCAAATCTAGATGCCAATTTTACAAGAAACAACTAGCACAACAGAAAAGAAAAGCCGACAATCTCCAAAATATCCACACCGTTCTTTTCATGGCCAGTAAGACAACAATCATTTTTTTAAGGAACATTAAAGATGGTGGAATTTGTCTTTCTACCAGGCTATGGCGTCAATAGAGGACCTTATTGCCAAGGACCAAGCCAATAAGCAGATGGCTTGCCCATATGCCATCATTGTGCATGAACTAGTCTTAAAATTAGTTATGCACAAAAGGCAAGGGACTATTTAATCTTGGCATTTGACAATCGGAAAATATACTTGGCACGTGTTATGACGCTATTTTTTTGCCATACATTGGTCATAAATCACATCCACAGAAATAACAACTCTAGATGCAATTCATTCAATAAATCTTCTAATGAGCCAGAAGGCACAGGACACCTAGGGACAAATCTTCCGGCACGTGTGTATAATTCAAGGCAACAAGAAAGACAAATAATTAATTACCAAAACTTAATAATTAATTATCAAAACTTAATTTGTATGGATGTTGAATTTTTCAAGAAGCAGAAAGGTTGAAACATCAGTCAAACTACCTAGGGTGGTACTGTATGGGCATCATCCAGATATCAAACTCAAAGAAGAAGACGGGGTACGACTTTCCCATCTTCCGGATTCAGTAAAAGACTGAATGACATTAGCAGGCGAGCAATTTTTGTGACATTAATGGAAGATCTTCACAGTTGCATGTACACGAAACTAGAAGTCAGAAAATGCAATTCCAAATCTGTAAAAAGTTCATATTGCTCCTTCCAGTCCCATCATACTATCAATTATTTAACTTATCCAAATATATGCCAACTGAATTAAGTAGGAGAAGAAAACCAAAATTCAGTCTCACTCTTATATGGGTAACTAATACATTCAATGAACACATGGTAGAAGCTTGTGAAAGAAAGATCCACGATTCTGATGGCTCTCAAGTGGGACATAAGTGCTCTGAGAGACAATGGTCACTTATAATTTGTTTAGGCATCGAACTTCAGAATGTACAATTACTCTAACATGTTGATTAGAAGGTATCAAAGCATAAGTCAGTATATCATATGGTATTTGTTAATGCTACGCGCTACTTTCTGAATAATGACATTAAAAACAGCAAGGAATATATGCATATATATATATACTTTCAGTCCATTGTGAAGAGAAAATGCAAACCTTAGAGAGTCAATTGCTATCACGGCCATGAAGCATGTCAAGAACCGCTAAAGCAGCTTTCTGAAAATTATCTTTCTCTTCTTCTAAAACAACCTTCCTCTGAAGAGCAGCATCTCTGGTCTTCTCTATCTCCTCTTTTATGCCAGCAGAACTTTGATCAATTTCACTGTCACATTCGAGAACAAAGTGAGTAATTTAGAACAGACTGAGGAAATTACGAGGTTGTACTTATTTGCAACAGTAATTGAATCTAAACTGAGGATGGCTCAAGATAGAGAAGCTGACATGTTAGAGAATACTAAAACCAGCTATATTAAAATCTAAGGTTATACTATCCATGAATAATAGTTATGCAGCAATTAAAGCATGCAAACATCTACAAGTTGAAACATGCTTGGTCAGCTAAGAGCTCACTTTGTCATCTTAAGCATGTTGTCCATCGCAACTTGCGCATTTTGAGAGAGATCTGTACATCTCAAATAAAATCGTTTTTTGTTAGATCAAAAACTCATATAATTAAGCAGGCATCATAAATGGTAAAGTCGATGAATATGCTCTGATTTTTCAAACATATTACATGGACAATGATAAGGCAACACATCATATAGGTATCATAAATGGTAAAGTCGATGAATATACTCAGAAAAATAGCACAAACCTAAACAGAGAAATCTCATCACCGCGAATAAAAAATGACTACACAAACTTCCAAAAAGAAATCAATTACGAGGAAGTATTACACAATTTACTGATGGAAGGAACTCAAACCTAACAGTGATTCTCCATAGAGCAGCGCATAGATAAATTCGAGCCGCGTTCTTATTTTGTAGGTATCGGATTAAAAGCCCGATTGACAGAGAGATTAGGCCACAGCTTGAATCATAAGAATACTGCCTAGGCTACATACACACGATTTGCATCTGTACGCATATGCGCGCTCGCGCTAAAGCAATGAGAAGGCTTACAGTAAACGAGAGAAGCGAGCGGAGACTCGGCGGCGGAAGGAGGCACGAGATCCTCGCCGGCGGGTGGTGGTGATGGCGCCATCCTTTGATCCTTGAGAGAGATAGAGAGAGAGAGAGAGAGAGAGAGAGAGAGAGAGAGAGAGAGAGAGGGTAGGAGGAGCCGGTGGAGAAGGAAATTGAGGGCGGGAGTTTTCAGCGATAACGAGGGCTTTTCAATTTCAGCAGTGTGCCATTTGATACTGCGAGTTAGGACGGGAACTGTTTGTAATTTTTCTTTTTATCTACTCTCTTTTTCCAAGACCAAGTTCATTCACACCTCAAACCAACCCAACTTATTTTTATTTTATTCTTATTTATTGATTAAACATAATCTACAATTAATTTGTATTATTGTTTTAATTGTAACTGAAAGATATTTATTTTGGCATTAGTTCGAAGGTTCTAACAAGCACCTGGAACTACAGAAACAGGGAAGATCTTTGTTTATTTGTTGCCTTAATTACAATTATTTTATATTCCATAAATAAGATATTCTGGATCTTATTATGGTACTTTGATTTGTAGGAAATCGGATGAGATAATGAAGGAAGAGGCGTGTATGATAAAGAGATCAAGGAGAGAGAGAAGAAGATTCACTTACCATATTCTTATGCTATAAACAAGGAAGGAAATCAAGGTTGGAGTCCTATGCCTTGTAGAAGACTCCAACCCTAAGGAGATTCTTTTAAATACCCGTATGCAAGCTCTCATTGCGGCTGCTGAGTTTTGAAGATTTATAGAGCAACAATTGAGCTTCGTGTATTCTGTTTTTATTGAGTTGTACACAGTTCAGTCTGAGAGTTCGAACTAGCTCAAGGACTGAAGCTGTTTTATTTTGTTCTTTGTGTTTCATCCAAAGAATTAAATATGCATAGATAATATATTAATTATTTTACAAGCTAGCCCTAATATACAAGTGAAAAATATATTATAACCCTATTGATTTTTAGACATAAACGAACAGAGTCATCTGAAAATAATTCATTTAATATCTATGTCCCGTGCATTGCACGGGGTGCGTACTAGTTTATCTATTAAACATAATCCACAATTGATTTGTGTTTTAACTGTAACAAATTAATTGAAAATTATATTTAAAGTCGTTGATGTGCTCTTGCACCTCAAACCGGCCTTCCACTGATCCTCAACCGCTTGCTCCCCCGAGAACTTGCAAAGACGTCGGGAAGTGCTCTTGGCGTTAAACCTCTGATGCTCAAGTCAGTAAAGGATAGATAAAAGTTGTATGTAATTGTATGTAGTGTTTAGGATTTTTGAGTGTGATTATCTTACATTCTTCCCCAATTTACCTATTTATATGATATTATTTAGCTTCTTCCGTACGCTTCGTTCCTCGTCTGTTAAATAATTTAATCTTTTTTTATCCTAGCCTTACACGTGTCCCCTATGCATCAGTCTGCATAACTGCCACATCAGTTCGGCCTTTAGCCTTTCACAGACAATTCTTTCTTTAAAAGTTCCCCTGCCACATCATATCGAGCTACTCATGTGATGAACCCTTCAACCCAACTACCCTTAACCAGAGCCACTTCTGTTACGGGTTCAGGCTATACTGAACTATCAATACTCCTACTTGACCGAGCTACTAAAGATCCTACTTGGCCAAGCTACTAAAGTTCCTATCAGTCTGAGCTATTAACACTCTTACTGGCCGAGCTACTAGAGATCCTATTTGGTCGAGCTACTAAAGGACCTATCGGTCTGAGCTACTAACACTCTTAGTGGCCGAGCTACTAGTATTCTGACTGAGTCGAGCCATTGATACTCTTAATAGGCCGAAATCTTAACTACAACCGATCCGAAGATTGAGCTAGCCACCCCCAGTTTTCTGAGCTATTCTTATATGCTACATCAGTCGTAATGATTTCAAAAAACTAATATTTTATCGTGTAATAAGAAAATTACGAACTCAACTAAAAATTAAAAATAAAAGAACTAGAATACAATATTAAAATTAATTACAAACACTTCAAATAAATCACACATCAATTACCTTTACCAAATAGAAAAATTGATATAAATTGATCCCAAAAAAAATACAAATTTTTATATTTTTTATTTTACATATTTAATATAAATTGATCCCAAAAAATATAAATTATTTTGTATGTTATTTAAGAAATACACTTGTCCTATAAAAGTTGGACAAGTGTCCCATGTGTCTCTCAACACTTGGTTGTGACCCAAGGTCACATTATGACTTGAGTCACAACATTTTTCTGACCTTTTTTCTTTTCATTTTGCTGGTGATGGGTCACCACTAAACATATTTAATTATATATTTAATGATAAAAATATATTTAAGTAATGGTAAAAATACATTTAATTATATATTATACATATAAAATAAATAAATATATATATTTATTATTAAATCGCTTCGATCGATTCGACCAGTGAATCATTGAACCGGTAGTTTCACCGGTTCGATGACCGATTCGGCTTTGAAAACAATGGTTAATACCGTGCATCCTACGGACTACAAAATAATTTTGTTTAAAAAAGTTATCAAAAGTCCTCTAATTAAAAAAGTCTCGTAAAATCTTCATATGCACTTTAAATACCGAATGATTTATAAAGACTATTAAAAAACTTTTTAAAATTTAATAACTAAATTTAAAAATCTCCATTAAATGCACGTAGATTCTTTAAAAATCTCAAAAAGTTTAAATTCAATACACCAAAATTTTTAAATTTTAAATAATCTTTAAAAGTTTAATCAAATACACCCATGCAGTGTTTTTCAACTCGGACCGGCCCGGCGGGTCGACCCGGGACCCGGTCGACCCGGAGCCAGAACCGATCCGGGTGTGCTAATTAGACCGGATAACAAATGAACCGGTCAAACCCGGTCAAAACCCGGTCAACCCGGCCTTGACTCGGGCGACCCGGGGCATTGACCCGGCCGGGTCAACCCGGTTGACCCGGTCCCTACAAATATTTTAAATTTTTTTTTTTTTATTTTTTTAAAAATAAAACTATGTATATATATTTATATGGTAAATATTTATTATTAAAAAAATATTATTATCACTTTAATATACAAATTTTACATACAAAACATTTAATTTTGTTATTTTATGTATATTTATATGACAAAATACTATATATATATATATAATTTTAAAAATTTTAAAATTAATTATCCGGTTCAGCAATTGACCCGGTGACCCAGCGGTTGAACCGGTGACCCGGTGACCCGGAGACCTTCCCGGGTCAATCACCGGGCCGGGTTTAAAAACTATGCACCCATGGAGCTTCATTTTTCTTTCTCGTTCTTAGTTCTCACCGACATTTAGATGCTGATTGTCTAAATTACATCAATACACGTCTTTGTAAAGAGTGAATTGTAATAACTGTTTAATTTTATTGATAAACATGTAAATTGAATTAATTGAGCCGAAGCTCGTATGGGCTTGGGCCTAATATTGCCCAGACTAATCTGACTGATATATTTTTAGTCCGTTGGGCCTTAAAACTCTCCATTGAGGCTGAACATAAAGATTATTACAACAACAACAAAGCCTTTTAGTCCAAAACAAGTTGGAGTAGGCTAGAGATGAAACCCAACAGAAAAAAAAAAAGAAAAAAAAAATTGGAGCAAAAGAAAAAAGAACAAAAGTCACGGTTCCAGCACGTTGATCGCTAGTCTCCAAGCGCTCCTATCCACCGCTAAATCTTTGGAGATAATCCAATCTTTAAGGTCTCTCTGAACCGACTCTTCCCAAGTGAGTTTAGGCCGACCTCTATCTCTCTTAACAACATCGGCCCGCTGTAGAACTCCCCTACGCACCGGTGCATCGGGAGGCCTCTGTTGGACATGTCCGAACCACCTCAGCCGATGTTGAACCAATTTCTCCTCAATTGGAGCCACCCCGACCCTATCACGAATATCCTCATTTCGGATTCTATCCCTTCTTGTGTGCCCGCAAAACCAACGCAACATACGCATCTCTGCTACACTTAGTTGTTGGACATGTTGCCTTTTTGTAGGCCAACATTCAGCATTGTATAACATCGCCGGGCGAATCGTCGTCCTATAGAACTTACATATTAGCCTTTGTGGCACCCTCTTATCACAGAGAACGCCCGAAGCTTGACGCCATTTCAACCAATCGGCTGCAATTCTATGTCTAACATCTTCATCAATGCCGCCATCCTTTTGTAGCATCGATCCTAAATACAGAAAAGTCTCCTTCTTGGCCACCACTTGCCCGTCAAGGCTAACATCACCATCATCATGAGTAGCCATGCTGAAAGCACACGTCATGTACTCGGTCTTCGTCCTACTAAGTCTGAAGCCTCTCGACTCTAACGTGTCCTTCCACAGCTCTAACTTCCTATTTACCCCGGCCCTATTCTCGTCAACTAGCACCAAATCATCAGCAAAGAGCATACACCAAGGGAGATCACCTTGTATGTCCCTTGTGGCCTCATCCATCACCAAGGCAAATAAATAAGGGCTCAATGCTGACCCCTGGTGTAGTCCTATTTTAATTGGGAAGTCGCTGGTATCGCCCCCACATGTTCGAACATAAAGATTATTATTATTTTTTAAAAAAATTGATTAAAAAAAAAAAGAATTAATCAGTCTGTGCACGAGCTCACGTGTACTATATTGATAATAATTTCTTCTTTTTGAGACACGAACTACTTATTTTTTTTTTAAAAAAAAAAACTCGCTAATATGTACTTAATTAAAGTTATTTATTTTGTAGAGGAATGCTTATGAATTAAATAATCTTCTTCCTCTCTATATATTATTCCCAAATGCGCTGAGCCTACATGACTGCTTCTGTTTCTTCGAAATCCTACTTGACAAACAATTATGCTTCATAATTAGGTTTGGACAAATAATATTGATATATTAATAATTAATAATCTAGGTTCGGACATTCCATAAATATTAAACAGCTAACTTAGGTATTTTAATATCACTTGTACTAATATAACACTTTAATTCTTTGTAATTTTACATATTCTTTTTAATTTTACATAGTGAGACATTAAGCGACTAATATATCC